TGGAGAATTGATAAAGCTTCCTTGGAGTTAAAGAGTTAAATCTTTGATTAACCCTAACCTTTCCTAAATACTTCAAAATTTTGTTTGCAAAATGGAGGATTTGCAGGATTGAGGCTTTATGGCAAGAAAAAGTGCACTTGGTTGGTATTTTTAAGGATGCACTGTATCAAGGTCTTGGGCCAGACCTTGTGTTATTTATGCTCAGCCGTACATAAATTTAGGCCGAGATTATACTTGAAATCCTCTGCACTGCTCCAGGATGTCACTGGCTCTGTCTCAACATATTGACAGTGATTGCTATAGGATTTTGCAGGATTGAGGCAGTGGTTACCCCTCCAAGGACCACATTATAGAAATAATTGATAATTTTGCAGGATTGAGGCTGCTAAGCAAGTTTTACATTGAGGCAATTGGAGTATGTTGCAGGATTGAGGTTGCATTCTTGCAAAATGCCTAGGGAATTTAATAGGTTAAATAGGTGAAGCTCTGCATCTGAGCCCTAAATATCATGCAACACCAACTGTTGGATTGTGACGGATTTCGGAGGGTAAAGTCTCAAGAAAGCATAAAATTAAAAGAGTAATGTTAAAAAACACTGGCAGTATTTTACAGCTCTACATGTCGGGGGTATAACCTGCGCAATGTTGTATTTTTTAGGGGTGTGCAAATACGAGTAATACAGGAACCAGGTACCCGATTGAAAAAAAAACACGGGTTCCTGGGAAACCCAATGCCAAACATGCCAAAATTCAAATCTCGGAAGTTGCTGTTGAGATTGTTAACTACAACCGCATCGGCACATCAGTACAGCAAGATACAAGTACAGTGAACTTTATAGCTTTACGGTTTTGTAAATTGCAGCTTAGTAATTACTGTAATTAAGTAATTTGAAAGTTGGTTATGGGTACCCGATACCATAAGGCCAAAAAAAAAAAAAACCTTCTGCTTCCGGTTACCCGACCCACCCTATTTTTAGTCTGCGACCCTAAACATTTTATCGGCAGTTCCAAAAAAAAGAATGATTGAATAAATAAAAATAAAATCTTGTTGTTTTTTCTGTCTTCTCAAAATACCTCTCAACAACCCTTTTGCGTCAAAAAAATGCTTGTATTTAGTTTTCTTAATTATGTTCACTATTTTTTTTAAAAGGAACCATTATTTTAAAAAATTTGCTTCGCAATTCGATGTCACGGTGACTATAATCACGTGCGTAAACCTAGCTCAATGCAGCAACAACTGGTTCCCCGCGCCACGCAGGGACCAATTTAGAAGACATGATGAAAATGCTGTAACAAGTCTGTGCATGGCTATGCAATCGATAGCGTTGGCATGGCTATGCATTGCAGGCCGGTGCACTGTCAACTGGTCGGATTCGTTACATAAAAATGCCAAGAAATCACCGATGGAGAAAGAACAAATTTTTGCATGTTAATTCACAGAATTGATCAAGCTTATTTTCCGTGTTCAGGAGTTCATTTGGAGATCGCACTACTTTTACCGGTATTTGGAGTGATACAATGCAGCGTGTTTCCCGAAATTTTCGAACGTAAAAAAGAGGTCTGACGGCCGCACGTCACACATGCACAGTGCATCACACTTTGGAGTTTTGGCCAGCTTCCCGTCTTGACTAGCCTCTTGCATATGGTGCGAACGACCTGAATTTTCCATTATTTTTTGAGAATTATCGAAGGTAAATATATTGACAATAATTAATGTAGGTTTTTTTCACTTTTTGTGGCCATTTTGTGTATAGCTTTTTAATTCATAGTGCAACGGAAATAGTTCAGGCTAAAACTAAGCATATAATTGAACACCCCATTCAATCTGCATTAAAAAAAATTGGCAAAAAAAAAAATATTCCGACCGACCGACCCTTTTTTTGAAAGGCATGTAATCGGAAGCAGAAGTATTTTTTCAGCCTAATCAAGAACCGGTTCCTGACATCGACGGTCGGGTACTCGGGTACCCGGTTCCAATGCACAGCCCTAGTAGGCCTATATTTTGCATTTTTTTTGTTTCCTGATTCAGCTTATCCTGTCAAGAGTAGTAAGGCGAGGCGTCATAAATAAATTAACCGTTCGCACGCGTGCGCACGCGTCCCTTCCCGTTCTGAACGGCCCCCGTTCCTTCCCATGCCGAACGGCTTTTAGAACGCGTTCCGTAGATCGTGCTTGGGCAAGCTTCACTGAGGGGGTATTGTTATGTTAATCAACCGTTCCTTTGCGTGCGAGAACGGGAGCAGCACAACAAAGATGCGAAGAACAACTATGTGTATATACTTGTACAGAAAAAAAATCCGTTTTGGTTTGGAATTTAAATCAGATTTGGAATTTGAAAACCCGATATCGGAGCAAGCATTATATAAAAAAAACATTTCAGAGTTTAGACAGCACGAGCAGGTATGAGGAGTTTGATAAGATTTATGCCTTTTTATCCTTAAATATCGTTGTCTGCCGCTGGGCGGGGCGAAAAAATATGTATGGTCTAGGTTATATTAAAAATGCAGAGATTGGAAGGGTTAAAAAAATATTGCAAAGGACTGCTTTCCCCGTTCAAGGTGCCCGTATTTTTATACGTCCCCCTGTACTGTACGGGCTAGCCTGTAGCGAGTTTGTCGGATACTTTTAGTGCCGATGAGCTCTTCGAGTGTGCACAGACCGTGACTGGCCTTTTGTTGTATAAGAACGCGTTCGGAACGGGATGCCGTGAGCACGCGTGCGAACGGGAGGTAGATGTAACAAAAGGCCCCGTTCCTAGCGTGCGCACGCGTTCGAACGGTTAATTTATTTATGACGCCTCGCCTAAATGGGTTCTGTAATAAGAAAAAAATACAAATTTGAAAATTTTGAAATACATGCATATACATGTACAGGGTGAGGCAAAAAGATAGTGACCAAATTTAAAAAACATTCGCTATCAATATTTCTGGAAAAAAAAGAGTGGACTTGTTCTTCTTTTTCACAACACAAAATCTAATCGTATCAATAATGCTTCAGTCTTTATTTCAATTATTAAAATCTCATTTGTTTTTGAATGCTTGTGTGTCATCTGTAATTCTCACTAAGCTCAATAGCTACATGTACCGATACCAGTGGTCCTGATTCCATGGACAGCTAAAAATAGGTTCTTTTGAGTAAAACATGCATTTAACTTCAGATGGCATGGATCAATTTCAGTAACTTTTTTTACGTTGAGTTAATGAACATGCTCGTGTAAGACATACATTTGTGTATCAAATTTGATTGCTTTCTAAGGAAACAAATTTGAATCTAGGTCACTTTCTTATTTTACTCGCCCTGTACAACACTATTGAATTCATATCACCCAACCCAAAATGTCATCTTATAAATAGTTGGGTTGCAGTACCTGCTGCTAGGTCAGATTCAAACCAGCCAGCCAAACCCCGGCAGGCTGTGTGGTCGAGTGGTAAGCTGTGTGCACTACATGTAGTAAGCAGGTGGTCCTGGGTTCGCGTCTCAACCGAGTTTAGAATGTGCATTTTTCTTTCACAAGCACTGGGACAACACTCGGCGTATACAGTGTCTATAGTACGTCCGTGACGGGCAAAAAACCAACACTGAAACTATTGCAAATTGGTGACTAAATAATAGTAAACATTTCATTCTCAACTTCAATGCAGTCGATCTTGACATCGAACATTTGGAACATAAAAGCAATGGTAGTGATAAATCACGGTTAACTGGCTCTGTCTTGGACGTTACACTTCCTTTCATAATGCTAGAATTGCCCATGTGTGTATTTCTTTTTGTTCTGACGAGTTCTGACAAAATGTTCTTCTGTTCTTGATAAAAAGGTTTTGTTTTTGAACTCCCCAGCAGAAAGGGAATCTCTTACTTTTTCTTTCATTTAATGATGATTATTGCAAAGACTGTGCCGTGGGTTTACTACCCAGAGTTCGAATTTGGAGTGTTTGGGAAACTTGCTAGCACAAATAACCAACAAGATAGGGATGAATGTTTGAGACATGAAAGAAAAACTGGCGCCAGAAAATTCTAGTCAGGAGTGAGTGACATGGGAGCTTGTTAAAGAGTGAAAGTTGAGTGTGCTGATGTAATGAAACACAAATAAGAGCACAGGGAAACTTGACACAAGTTTTAGTTTTGATGTTTGGATAATCAAGAAAGAAAATTAAAATACAGATATAAATTGTCACTGCATCAACATAGCATTGGACCACACTCTCCTCCTTGAAATGGAAAGTGTACTTTAGACTTCTGTTTTCAATTGATATACTTAGAAAGCATCCGTGAACTTCTTCTTGGTTTGGGGACAAATTGATCCACTTTGCTAGCAGACTGGTTCCAGGCCCATGCATTATCCGATACTGATTGTGGGGCAGGAACCAGGCAGCCTCGCGAGAACAGAAATATCTTCTGGCAGCCAATAATTTGACATTGTAAAGTAAATAATTCAATAACTAAGCATTGGCTGATTGGTTTTTGGTTCAAAACTGAATAACTGTTGTATTGCTAGAAAAAAAAAAGCAAGTCAGAAATGAGTATACAGTGTTTATACATCGGCAAAGGGCAAAGCCTAATATTGATTTACATCACCCCAACGCAAAATTCCATCTTATGAATAGTTAAATGCGGTACTCGCTGCTATGTACAATGTACATCAGATTTGAACCAGCCAACCGATCCCGCAAGCTCGGTGCTTTGGGTGGTGAGACGTCTGCATTAGAAAGCAGGAGGCCTCCGGTTAAAGTCCAACCCAAGTGATTTTTTCCGACTCTCACTTGGGAGGTAACACACTGAGTATACAGTGTTTATATGTCAGTGAAGGGCAAAACCAAATATTAATTTAGAAAAGAAATCTAATTTTTGGATGAAACTCGAAACTAGCGAAGGGAACAGAACTTTAAATCCCCCCCCCAACACAAACATTCCATCTTACAAATATTCATCTCCTTTCCTGTTACATTCAGTTCTTGCAATGGATTAACTGATGGAAATCCAATTTTTTGTTTCATCCCTCAGCTGCCAAGAAGATAAGGAGGAGGCATTGAAAGTACTTAACGGACACAAATGGAAAGGACAAGTGCTCAAAGCCAAGGTATTCACAAAGTCACTCGTGGTTTTTACTATTGGCACTTGCTTCTGTTGGCACTTTCAATGAATTTACATAACTAATCAACAGTCTTAGTATTGGCTACCAGTGCAAAGGGTCTAGTGGCTGCTATTGCTGTGGTTACAGGTTCACATTCCCGCAGTGACTCTCCGTAGCTCGCCAAGCCAGTTGAGGACCCGGACACTAAGAGCCTCGCTCTGAAGAGAAGCCAAGAGGCATCTGATGGAAACACCCAAGAAGCTAAGAGGAGGAAGGAGGAGGACAGCTGACCAGTAGAAGAGAGGTGAAGACATTGAGATAGAATGCAGGGTTGGGCTGGATTTGAACCGCTATCCATTAGAAAAGTACTCCGGTTCTCAACCAACCAAAATCATCACAACACTCATTTCTTCTTTCATGCAAGGGTACAAACAAATGGCTCATTTTATGGAAATTCATGAATTTTTTTTGGGATGATTTTGTCGGATATAGGAAGGTAGACCCCAGCCAATAATACCATTTATAAGGTTTGAAATCCCTTGAAAGTTGAAGTGCAAAGAATGTGATTGCCTTCACTGTGGTAGATTTTTTTTGAGAAAGGGAAAGGAAATGTGTTACCTCAAGTACAGGGCGAGTCAAAAAAGTGGAACCCAAACCCCCAAAAATGTATTTCATATTTAAAATATATGTAGCACCAAACATAATAATGACTGGAAAGCCAATTTCATAAGCTACTTTTAGATGAAATTTGCTCAATTCGCTTAAAGAATATCACCATTTAAACATAATGACCCTAAAACCTGTTTCGTCAAAACAAAAAAACAGTTAATATTGTATTCTGATTGCTAAGATCTACTGTTTTTTTTAAAGACGGGCCTCAAAAGGACTTTGTTAAATATTTTTAACTTTTAAGCTGAGGTTTTATTGCTGGTAATGCTGGAAGACAATTGTGATGATTCCTGAAATTGCATTTTTGGACAAAAGAGGTTTTGTGGTCATTGTCTTTAAATGGTGATAGTCTTTGAATGGATTGAGCAATTTCAGTAATCTTTTTTCATCTAAAAGTAGCTTATGAAATAGGCTTTCCAGTCATTATTATGTTTGGTGCTACATATTTTTTTTAATTTGAAATCTAATTTTTGGGGTTTGGGTTCTGCTTTTTTGACTCACCCTGTAGTTCATGATCAGCACAAGAAAACCATTCTTACATCCAAGATTACTATTTTATGAACCAAACTTGTCAGTTCCAAAGGCCAGTTGACATTGTGAACATGAAATTTGTTGAGTGAAACTGTTACGTGGTCAGTTTACTCTTCCTTGCTATTTGTTTTCCTTGAACGGACAGCATCAAAGCTTGCATGTCTGTGTAGAGTAAGTTGACCACATTCCATTATCCTTTATGAGATATGGTGGGCATGATACAAGGCGCTATTTGGTTTAGGTCAAGATATTTGGATTTACCCCAAATTTACCCCAATCAAATGTCGCCTTCTGATTGTGTCTGCCATATCTCAACAAGGGTAATAGCAGTTGAAGCGTTCATGATTATGAAAATTCTTAAGACTCTGAAATACTGAGTGTGCTTTTCGCTCTTCTCCCAATCTGCAGGTTAAACAACACGGTGACTCCACTGTGGAACCAGCCATATGAGGACCAGCTATCCACCAAACAGACCAACACCAGAGAGTTTCTGAGGAATTTATCCAAGATGCTGCAACGGAACATTGGGGAGATGTCTCCCTGGCTGAAGCAACAAAGGTGAGCTACCCGCCAAAGACATGGGATGGTTGTGGGCCAGAATGGAAATGTAATCTCCCTTGACAAAATGTTTCCAGACATAGTTCTCTGGCCAGTGGACTTACATACTGTACAGCTGTCCTGAATATTGGTAAAGCCCCAGAAGATGTTTTACCCAATTTTCTGAAATGAGCTGTCTTTCCTACACACAAAAGTCACCAAAAAAACCCCCAGGAAAACCCAACCCAAAGCCAATCAATTCACAGCTGCTTGAGTGGGACTCGCACCGGCAACCAATGAAAGTTGAGGTGAACCCCAACCCCCTGCTTAGAGAGACTCTCTCATTCAGGGGCAGATTGAGACCAACTGTCCCTGGACTTACCGGCAAACTGGAAAAAACTGCTCATTGAATCCTGTCCACATGACTTTGCAAAGAAAATAGAGTAGTTCTGAGAGAAGCAAAGAGCAACCCTAGTCACTCTAAATTGAAAGTCAAATTTCAAATCATAGCATTTCTTTTTTTGTTTTCTTTTTTGGAGATAGAGCACACCTATCCACTAATATTGGTGCTCAAGACACTACTTCATTAAGTTAAAAGTGCACATTGCCTGGAATGGACATAAAGTGTGCACACATGTAGATGTGAATGTGATGTGCCTGTCATGAACACTGCAACAGAAAGTTACAGAAAAAAAAATTCTCATTAATTCCCCTAATTTCTTGTCAGGTTTTCATGAAACTTGGGCCTGAATAAATTGTGCAAACTTTTCAGTTTCATGTCCTATTATTTTCATTGACAGATAACACTGTTGGTTTCCGGTTTGGCGCTTACAAAGGTAAGTATTTCCTCTGAAGTTTCCTTTTTGCAAAAGACGTAGATCAGCTTTTATGTTTGATTGGATCGGCTGTCGAGGGGCGTGGCCTATTAGTAGCTACTGCTGATCAATTCCAACCAATCAGAATGCAACACACAGAAAGATTGACAGGTGTACATATTGTGCATTGTCTATTATGTCTGTCAGGAATTAATTATTGAAAAGAAAGAAACAAGCCTCAACAGACTTAAACCCTTGTCATCCCCTTTGCTAACCAATATGTTGGCTTACTTTTGTGGCATGAATATTGAGGGTATATGTTTGTACTTTCAACATTGACTAGCAAGCTCTTTTACTCAATAGGGATTTTTCAAATATTACATTTGTACAAGCAAGAATTAGATTTTAAATAAAAAATAATTCAGGAAAATCGCTGTTTGTTTAAATGTTGCTAGTGTACACTTTTATTTATTTCATCACTGATCTTGCTTTTACACGCAGATTTGTTTGTCCTGTAAAAAGTATGTGACTTTTAGAAACATGGTTTGCCCTGCAATTTTTTTTTCTCAAATATTACTAGGTGTCAGAAAGATGCAAGAGCTCAAACACCAATTTGGTGATAGTACATTTCTGTATTATTTGTGTTTAGAGTTTTAAACGCAAGGAAATACAGCTTTAATGAACATATAAAAAGCAGCAATTCCTCAGATACTGTGCAAATTAAGATACATCTTGTAGGATGCCAACTTTACAACGACATTCATATTTTACAGCATTGATTTTTCAATCATCCAAATTCAAAGTACCCTTGAGTCCATCTATAAGAGATTTTAGAATATTGCTTTGCATTTAAACATCATACAGACATGGAGCTCATAATGTAATTCAACAGACTAGTGGTGCTACCCAGATTATGTACAATTATAGAGCATGCAAGTCTCGCCAGTTCACATTCACATTTCATGTGAACATCTTGGTACCAAACACTGACTAGTCTAACCACAGACTCCCGTCTTTGAATTCACCCAATTCATCCAATGAATGAGATTTGGCCAGGATTGTCTGGATTTGTTCATTTTTCAAAATATGCATGACATGCCTTTTGGGGAGCTGTTTTTTTGAGTTTTGTTTCCAAAATATGAAATGGCGGCCGAAGGTTGAATGAAAGAACTCATATTTAGGCCAGATAATAATGATTGATAGTAATACAAAAATGGAAATTAAAAATACAAATGTTCCAATTCTTTAAAATCATAACTTTATTGTTGCGTGCATCGTAACGGTCGCCATGACGGTTCACCATGCCATTTTGGCCAACAACTGTACAAAATACAGTTTGTGTTTAATTTGAAAGGCTCATTGTGATACACAAACAATATACAATCCTTGTCAATTTGTTTGTATTCACTCATTCCGTTAATTTGCCGAAAAATCCATTTGTGATCCATCCAAACCAAAATATAAAGGAATTGAGTGACTCTGCTTCTTATATAATTTACAGTGAACCGTGGTTACACTATGGTTTGGATGGATTTTTCGTCCAAATGAGGGATTAAAAACAAATTGAAGAAGGTGATAAGTTGTTTGTGTATCCTAATACGGCTTTCACGTTGAACACAATCTGTATTTTGTAAAAATATCGGTCAAAATGACATGGTGCACCATCATGGTGAATCGTGTGCATTGACCATGTTACCAGCGCGTGCGTGTGTGTATTATTATTTGAGCGCGTACTACGCGCAATATCCAAATCCAATATCAAGGCTATTGTACATTCAGACAATCCCGGCCAAAATGGTTCGGACACTTGGAAACAACCTTAGCCTCCAACGGTCACCAACTCCCCGGCTCCCCCGGTCAATGTTGTTCTCTCCAGCGGATGGAGCACACACCGCGCAATGAGAGACAACATTGAGCGGGGGCTGGGAGGTTGGGGGCCCAGCGAGATTTGGCCAGGATTGTATGTTTTTGAGGTCAACTTGCACGCTCTATGACAGTAGCCATAGACATCTCACTTGCTCCAATTAGACTTTAAAATGCCTTTAAAAAATAGCAAATTCAGTGTATTTTCTTCTTTAGTTAAAGTTGGTCTTTTAATCTTTTTGTTTGTGCATCAGGTCTTGACCCATAAGATAACCATTTCACCAGCACCTCTGACGTTCCGGTGACTGGCGCTGCCATAACGGATCCTTATCACTATCTGACGCAACAGCACTTCACCTCAGAGATCTTCAAGATTGAGATCCAAAACCTCCCAAGACATTTTGGATTTGTGGTGAGTTTGCTCTCTAAGCATTCAACTCTCGATAATGATAATTAACTATATTTTTTTCCCAGCTAAAATCCCATACTGTACATCTAAAGCCCACAATAGTTTCATATTATATGTCTGTGCTCTGCAGACAAAAATCTATCCAATGTGTAGTTGAAACAAAAAGCTTCTGCATTTTTTCCCCTTAGTGTTTTTTTATCTCTAAGATTTGTAAGGATGAGTTCTTTGTTCCTTGTTTTGAAAGAAACTAAACCAAAGTAGACAATAGAGTTTCACAGTTGACTTTGGAATAGATGTGCTTCAGAAAAAATTTATATTTTCTCTTCAAGACTTTTTTTACATGTAAATTGTTTAGTCCGTCATTGAGGTTTTGCTCAGATCTAGGTTACTTAAAAAAAAAGTGAAATGGCACTCTGCACTTTTTACATGTAGAGGTTTACAGCTCATAAAAGATCACAGACATAACGTAACGCTTGAATTATCTATAACTGAATAAAATTAGATGCAGATCAAAAAATGACATTTTGCAAAAGACGTAGATCAGCTTTCATGTTTGATTGGATCGGCCATCGAGGGGCGTGGCCTATTAGTAGCTAATGCTGATCACTTCCAACCAATCAGAATGCAACACACAGAAAGATTGACAGGTGTACATATTGTGCATTGTCTAATATGTCTGTCAGGAATTAATTATTGGAAAGAAAGAAACAAGCCACAAAAGACTTAAACCCTTGTCATCCCCTTTGCTGACCAATATGTAGGCTTACTTTTGTGGCATGAATATTGAGGGTATATGTTTGTAATTCCAACAATGTCCAGCAAGCTCTTTTACTCAGTAGGGATTTTTCAACAATTACATTTGTACAAGCAAGAATTAGGTTTTAAAAACAAAATTCAGAAAAATCACTGTTTGTTTAAATGCTGCTAGTGTACACTTTTATTTATTTCATCACTGATCTTGCTTTTACACGCAGATTTGTTTGTCCTGTAAAAAGTATGTGACTTTTAGAAACATGGTTTGCCCTGCAACTTTTTTTTCCAAATATTACTAGGTATCAGAAAGACGTAAGAGCTCAAACACCGATTTGGTGATAGTACATTTCTGTATTATTTGTGTTTAGAGTGTTAAATTACACAAGGAAATAGCAGCTTTGATGAACATATAAAAAGCAGCAATTCCTCGGATACTGTGCAAATTAAGATACATCTTGTATGATGCTAACTTTACAACGACATTCATATTTGACAGCATTGATTTTTCAATTACCCAAATAACTCCAGGGTACTTCGAATTTCAAATTCGAAGTACCCTGGAGTCCATCTAAAAGAAATATTAGAATATTGCTTTGCATTTAAACATCTTACAGACATGGAGCTCATAATGTAATACAACAGACTAGTGAGGCTACACAGATTATGTACAATTATAGAGCATGCAAGTCTCGCCAGTTCACATTCACTTTTCATGTGAACATCTTGGTACCAAACACTGACTAGTCTAGCCACAGACTCCCGTGTTTGAATTCACCCAATTCACCCAATGACTGGAAGTGGAGGTCCACATTTCTTCAATTTACTATAGTAATCAACTTGCAATATTTTTTTAATGTGTTGTAAATTGGAATGATTTTTTTCTTATTCAGAACCCATTCTTTGCCCTTGACTGGATAAACCTAGTAAAATCACCTAGGTTTTTGAGGTCAACTTGCACGCTCTGTTGACAGAAGTGGGGAACACATTGCTGACTTTAACTATCAACTGCACTTTTTCCAGCTAGTAGCTGTGTAGACACCTTTAATACACCAGACTTAAATCCCATACTGTACATCTAAAGCCTACAATGGTCTCGTATATTATATATCTGTGCTCTGCAGCAAAAAAAAAAAGGTCTATACAATGCATTTCTCCTTGCTAAAGGGTTTTTCAAGAAACTTCTAACAAAAAACAGCACTTTATTTGGTCTTCAAATAAAATTATCCACATTGTGCATCATGTATGCACAAAGATTGGTATACATTTGGAGTCAGATGCTCCTAATGCATAACTTGCAACTTTGTTGATCTGTTACTTAGGCTGTGTCTGAAACGGGCTTCTAGAGCTATGGCTACGGCTATTGTCAGATTGTTCCCATGTAATTGTTTTGGGTGAAGACCTAGACAATATAGCTCTAGCCATATCAAGTTTTTTAATTTGTTCATTTGTGCATCAGGTCTTGACCCACAAGATAACCATTCCACCAGCACCTCTGACGTACCAGTGACTGGTGCTGCCATAACGGATCCTTATCACTATCTGACGCAACAGCACTTCACCTCAGAGATCTTCAAGATTGAGATCCAAAACCTCCCAAGACATTTTGGACTGGTGGTGAGTTTGCTCCCTTAACATTGAACCCTCAATAACAATAACCATACAGTTTGTGCCTTCTTAGGAGTATGTATGTATTGTGCTCCATGCTTGGGATTTGTCAAGGTCTGTTAATAACAGAATCAAAAGGCTGTAAAATGAATTTCACTAAAACATGAAATATCCAAGCCCTGTGTTTGTTTGACCACATTTAACGTACACTTTTTTGCAATGCACCTAAAATGAACCTAAAATTAATTGCATTATTCATGTCTAAAAGTTTGTACATTTAAGTATCTCATTGGCTGCATGGTATGTGCTAATGAACGTAACAGTCACATCAAACTTGATCAAAACACTTTTGTTAACATTATTTTCCCCTCAAACAGCAGTGACACTGAAGTTCCAGCTCATGACATCATTGTATTTGTCATGAACATGCATCTTGGCACCATCATAAAAATATGTAAAAGCCTGAAACATCCAAAGACTTGGAATACAGAGGTGCATTTCCTAAAATAAAAACCTCCAAATCTGTTTCAAAAGCACTTAAAAAAAAAATCTATATTTCCAGTGAACTTTCAGGGTTATCCATATGTTAGTACCATTACTTTTTCACACTGAAAAAAGTAACAAACTTGCTCATTTAAAGGAAAGGTAGATCATTTGTCATTTGTAAATTTTTTGTTTCATTTGAAGCTACAAAAGTGTTCAAAATCTAAAAACGGGTGCTTAACAACTAACACGATGAAGTTTTAGCTCTGTGAATGCAGTATATTCCAAACATATACTCTAAGATCTCAGGTTCAATTCAAAGTTGCTGAGTCATGTTTTATATTGCGTCCGAATTCAGCCCCAGGGACACATTCTCATTCAGTCAATTGCAGCTACGCGATGTCATGCACTGAACTGACGAATCATAGCAACCTAGTGTGCGTGTGCGTCGTGTCGACGCTTGCGCGCACAAATTCATGGATTCACCAAATTTACAAACCAACTACATGAACTAACATGATGCATCGTTGAAAATTGCTTTCTTTCATTGTTGCCTTCAAAATGACAGCATGCCAAAAAGAATGATTTCACAGGGAGTTTATTGCCATTAAAACCAAAAGCCTTTTAACAATAATTTTGTCAGTTACTTTTTGGGTAGCTGCAAATGATCTACTCTACCTTTAAACACGTACAAATGTTTGATTAAATTAAACTATTTGGAATTTGTTCATTTCTGAACCTTTTACATACATACATTGCATGAATACCAGCTGTTCCCTTTACTGATAGTTGGTTGCAATCTGCTCTGGGCAGGCCTGCACATTACTGATGTCATGGTGCGTACATGTATTGGCAATTCGCTGAAGTACATTTGTAAAACACATTTCAACTCCAGCATATTGTGTTGTTAATGTTTCTCGATGTCAAATCTACTTCATTGGCATTCCAATGAAGAAGATGTATGAAACGGCCTTAAATCTGCTCTACACTTTGAACACAGCAAGTTCAAAAGCAGCACTCACTCTACACACTGCTGCCCTTAAAGACAGCTTGCACTTATCAGGTACCAGTGAACATTGTTCTTGACAACTTTCCAAAGATTAAATCCCTTGTGGTTCTGGATGTGCATACTGCTGCCCTTGTGCTGAAGGCTCAGTGCCAGTCAGCCCAGGACATTGTTCCTGAGAACTTGCAAGTGACTGCTGGCTCTCTGCTGGTTCTGGATGTTCACACTGTTCCCCTTGCATGGATGGCTAGCTAGCAGTCAGTCAGACTAGAGCATTGTTCCTAATGAGAACTTGCAAGCGCTGGGGTCCCTGCTGGTTCTGCATGTACCTCAACATGCACTTGAACATGCTGTTGACTGTGCATGGATGCCTTGCTGCCGCATTGCATGCAACATTGTTCTTGACAGCTGTCCAGTGACTGCTGACTCTCTGTGTGTTGTGCATGCCCTTGGCTTGGTGGCTTGCTGCTGCTTGGCCTGGCAGCATGGTGCTCTTGGTCATTTTCTGCCTGTGGAATCACATGAAGCTCAATCTGCTTCTCTGGCTGCGATGGTCGGCTGGGATTCCGTCTTGGGCAGCAAATCGAAGGTGATTTTTGTATCTTTTCCTTTGCAAGTTCTTGTTCATTCATGGAAGTGGGAAAATGATTGATTTTTCATTTTCCTCAATGGGTACATGTATTATCAGTTCGCAATATGGTAATTGATAAGTGGTGGACAGCTAAGTTTTGTGATCATTTTATAGAAATAGACATGAATTGGGAATAGAGTATGCAATTTAAGTGAAATTTTCACAGTTAATAGTCAATAAGATGTACTTTACCCGTATTTTATTGAAATGGAACAAGCTAAATATTTTAAACATTTTTTTCGAATTCTGTCACTTTCTTTTTGACTCATCCTGTAGTTGGTTCAACCGTTCACGTGGGAATAAACTTGATGAATACATCCTGAAAATGGCTTTGGGGATAATGACAGTATATGGATGTGATTGGACGGAGGAGCAGGTAGTTGGTAGTTGGTTTCAATTTGGTCAT